GAAGAATTGCCTTCTAAACAGATGAGTTTTCAGACTTCTCTTAAACACATTGATATTGATTGATTGGGGCTGAATTATTTACAATTTAATAGACAGTCAACAGTACTTTAAACATTTATTTTTTCACGAATGCGTAGATGTGAAGTGATTGATGTGGTGTGCATTTTGAACAAATTGGAACTTGTCTAGCTGAAATTTAGGGCATCCATAAAATGAAATATTATAGTAGTCTAAACTCGACGTCATAAATGCATGGACTGACTTCACCATAGGCGAATTTTACTAAGGCGGTAAAGTGCAAAGTAAGCCGACTTACAAATCTGATTAATATGGTGTCCCAAATAACCATCACATTCAAAATGGACTCCAAGATTACGGACAGAGCTAGACAAAATTATGTCAGGCCCACCGATTCTCAATGACACATTATCAATAATTACTACTAATTCTTATTGTGTAAGGTTTCCATGCTTACTCGGTGTGTGTTGCTAATAATATCATTCAGAGTTAGTCTTGACATCCTTTCAACTCTGTTTTAGCTGTGCTTTCCAAGATTAGATTGATTTAGCTAAAGCAGAGTACCAATAGCTATCAAAGAAAGTGAGATGATTATGAAGGTGTACTTAGTAGTCTGGAGATTTTTTTAACCTAACAGATACAACAAGTAACAAGTGGAAAGAGAAAAACTTATTTTGCAAGACAAAGGGTGCTGTTACAAACAATCAAGATGGCCACCACTATGAGTGACAAGGACAAGACAAAAAAAAACAAGACAAAGAACAAAGAATTGGTATTTGTAGCCTTTCAAATGTTTTGTGTACCTATAAGGGTGAAGATTCGAACAATGACTGTCAAGTTACAAGTGAAAGTGGCAGTGGCAGTGTGTGTAACTATGTAGATACATGTACTGAGAATTCTACCCATGGCTATATCCATGGTTCAGTTGCATAATACCATTCTTCCTGAAATTATAGTAGGAGCTTCTCATGTTGACCCACACAGTCCTCAAAACTGAGAAGCAGAGGAATGTAAAACAAAAAAAGTGCTTACCTATGTCATGTAGTTGTCAGAGGTAGAATTACAGGGATTTTCCAAAGTTGGTTAGAAACAGGTCCACAAGTTAGTGGCTACAGTCACTGCTTACACAAAAGTTTCCACTGTATCACTGATGCTAAGCATTATTTAGAAGAACATGGGATACCAGCAGTAGTACATGAAAACGTCAAATTTCTAGAAGAATCAGGGCCACAATCCAGTGCAAGATAACCATCGTCCAAGACGTGAAATTCACCCCACCAAAACGATGTGACAATTTCATCTGTCTAAATAAAGCTGTACAATCGCATGATACTGATGTGCAGCCACATGGGAAAGTTGATAACTACAACAAATATGTATGTACAACAACACAATCAAAGGTTGATTTATTATCACAGAAACCAGTCAGAAATTTTACTGAGGTTAATAAGCATCAAGACATACAATTCAACCCCAGCATAGATGAAATACATAAGAAGGTGGATGCTGTTAATAACCTCAATGATATATGTGTTGAAAAACCAGGTTATGCTATCTAATCACGCATCAACCACAATGGATATGATGTCCATGCAGAAACAAGATATAGCTGCAGTGTTTAAATGTGTAACAGATTTGACATTAAAATTACAAACATTAGAAAAGAAAATAGGGCTATCATTGACCTGAAAGAAGACAAAACAACAAAACATCAGTTCAACAGTAAATAATACGAAGAAAACTCTTTTGGAAAGAAGATACCTTGAAAAAGTATCACACTCGGTTGGTAACTCAACACAAACAACAAAGTCTGAGTTACATGATCATGTAAAATCTTCCACCACAGATACTAGCCAGGAAGCACATAGGGCACAACAACAAAAGCACAGCAGTGCATCTGAATCAACATCATCCAAAAAAATATTCCAGACAACCGGCCCAGAATCATCCCAAAGAGAAGAAGTTGTGACATCACCCTTCCACTCAAAGAACATGTTCAATGTACTACAACAATAGGAAATTGAACAACCAGTTTCACACTCAAGTAACAGAGAAGGTAGACATGAATCACAGGCTACTGATGTGGGAATAAATATCCAAATGAATCGTAAGGCAGCCACTAATTCACATACCAGAATTGGTCTTATAATAGGTGACTCTATCCTTCGCAATACAAAGGTGATCTCAGTGAGTGGGGCATTGATTCCAGATATCAGACGTGAAATCTACTATGCAAGTGAAGTAGTCAAGGATGCTAATAATATTATCATTCATTGTGGTCCAAATGACATCAAGGCAAATATATCACCAGAAGCCTTTGTAGAAGACTACCATGCAACTATTAAACTGATAAAGATATCTGCACCTGCAGCTAGTGTCTCCATATCCAGTATTTGTCCAAGAGGAGATTACAGAAATGTGGATGTTAATATTGTGAACCTACATCTAAAGTCATTAGCAGAGGATACAGGCTGTGCATTCATTGTCAATGACCTCACCTTTAAGATACGGAATACCGGTAACACTGACAGATCTTTATATTATGACAAAGTGCATCTTAACTTTGAAGGTACAAGGAAGTTATTGCAGAAAGTTTTCATCTCATGCACCCATTTTCAACAAGAATGCAATTAGAGATGCCAGGCCCAGGAGAATTATGAATTCATACAAGTCACATAAAGTGAGTGCACAATAGAAGGTCAAACAGTTTGGTTGCTACAACTGCGGGGAACCAGGACATACCCAAAATGTGTGCCGCCGTGGAATGAAAATTACTTGTCATGGATGTGGCCAACTAGGTCATATGGTTAAGTTTTGTAAGCAAGAATTGTATTAATGGGTTGGCCAAGAAGAGAGTGCCGACTGTACAGATATATCAATGGATCCTTTAGGTAATTCTGATATAAGTGAAAGTGATTATTTATACAATGTAGCACAAAATAGTGTTGTAGACTTTTATTACTAATAGAATGACGGGTTTGGGACAGTGTGAAAATAGTTCAAACGCTATTCACTCTGGTGTACATGTAAATACTGAATATCAGAAGTGGTTATGTACCAATGACAGTTCATCCAAGGTCCATAAACGTCATAAGACATCGCATAAATCCAGGCGTAACAAGAAAAATTAAATATTGGTGTCCAAAAACTGTGTATAGGATATTTGAATTTTAGAGGGTTGAAATCAAAACAGCAAGAGCTTGGTTCCTTGGTAAAAGAGCTCAGTATAGATGTTTTTTTGGGGGGTACAGAAACATTCCTGAAACAAAACAAATCCTTTATTACGAGGATACAGCTGGTATGGTAAAAACCGTAAACACAGTTTAAAAAAGGGGTTGGGGGATTGTTTTTTTTCATTAAAAGTAATTTCCAAGTGATTGATGACAACTTATTTCACTCACAAGAAGATGACTTGGAAAGGTTATGAATTAAGATTAAAGTTGGAGGGGGCCAGTCATTATGTTTAGGAGTGGTGTACTTCCCATCAGAAAATACTAACATAGATGGGACAGATGAATTATATCATGAATTATACAGTAACATTAATAACTTATTAGATTCAAATGAGTAGTTCTTATTGTTAGGTGATTTTAATGGCAGAATTGGAAATAAGTCAGGAGATACAATCTTGAATAGAAACGGGGAAAAATATTAAAATGATAAATAATTTTGATCTAGCCTTAATTAACAACAATGATATAAGTATTGGAAAGTGGACATGGTCACGACACACCCAACAGTCTGACTATATGTTGACAAATGATAAATGTATATATAAGATTACAGACTTTTTTGTAGACGAAGACAGGATTTTCGATATTGGCATTGACCATAACCTTATGTATACTATTCATAATATTCCAGACTTTAAAATCGAAAACAATTTTACCGGTAATGTTCATCAATAATAGAATATTAACAAAGAAACAGATTGGATTAAACAAATTTTGTAATTTATGGAAAATGGTCGTTAATGAAGATAAGTCTAATGTCCTAATAACAAACAAAAGAGTTGACAAACATAGAGAGTACAAATATTCAGGCTACTGGTTTAGATGTAACCTTTCTGACCACACCAATTACAACAATAATAGAAACATGTAATGCCTTATTTCCAGTTATGGCAGCAATACTTTGTGGTCATGGAAATATTAATAGAGTAGAATATGGTTTGTCACTATGGAACCAGGTATTAAGGCCAGCTTTAGAGTATGCTGGGGGAAATCCTTATACTTAGTTGGACAAATATGGATAGTTTAAAAAAAAGCAGCGTATGACAGGAAAATTCATTCTGGGTTCATGCAGAAATACTGCAAATGAGCCTGTCCTTGGTGATTTGGGGTTGTTCACAATGAGATGTAGACTAGATATAATGAAACTAAAATATTACCAAATGATATGTCAGATTCCAGATGGCTGGAAGTTATTTTTAATGTTTTGAATGATCAAAATGATGAAAATAACAAAAACAACACAACTTTCAGAATATCCTGGAACTGGCCAAAATGTATTTATGATATCTTAAAAAGTGTCGATCTAGATTAACATCAAGTTGTACAATTTAGTCAGCAGAAAATTAAAAAAGTTCTGAAAAAATTTGATGAAGATAAGTGGAGAAAAAAACATGCTAAACAAATCAAGTCTGATTCACTACATGAAATTTAAAACTGTGAAAAATGATTAAAATCAGTTGAAAATGATAAAGATGCCCAGCTTAAATTCAAAGCAAGGTCATACACTCTTAGGTCTTGCGTATGAGAAAAGAAACTGGGCAAATGTCAATAGTGATTGTACTTGTCCATGCTGCAAGAAAGGTGATGAAACTCTAGAACACTTTCTTCTAGAGTGTGAAAACTACAAAGAATTAGGGATATTATGGTGACAAATATTAGTCATATCCTATATAAAAATGGTGAAGCAAATCTTTACGAAGATATTACGAAGGGTAAAGCTTTATTATGTTTCCTTTTAGGCACTCAGCATTACAATTATGAGATATGTGAAGAAATTGATAGAGTTGTGAAAAGATTTCTTATTGATGCCAGGCATTATAGAAAACATTATGTAGATTACATTTATTTCCTGTATTCACTTTAAGTTTAAAAGTGTCATTGTTTTGTATTTTCTTTAAGTTTTAAAAGTTTCATTTTTTATACTTCCTTTAAGTTTTAAATTTTCTGTTTCTTTTTCATTTATATAGTATGTGTTTTTTCCAATAATTTTATTGCAGCTCCTAATTACTTACTAGTGAGCCCCTGATGTAAAAGGGTAGCAACAAATAAATAGATAAATAAATAAAAAATAAATGTAATAGAATTAATATTAGTTCGTTACTGCCGATATGACCGTTTTTTCTTCTTAAAAGCAATGAGTTGTGGTACTCATCACACGTTTGTCATGATAAGTTTAAATGCGTTCCAAATGTTCATTACGCCTTTCTCTCTATATAATGTACTGTTTGTAAAAATTGGTAAATTCTGACACCTTGAGAACAAATTCATCAAATCGGTAAGACTAAATTTAAAACTGTCTTCTTCAATGTGAATATTATTCCATACATGTCCCCGTAGATTTACACATGCATTATTCAAATCTTGTCTAATTGGGTATGACTGACAATATCCAACCTGTTCATCACAATGCGAGGCACAGTCGGCGTGTTCTCCTAAATGACACGAGTCGTCTTCATCACATGAAAGGGATTGGAGTCTCTTAGCAGCTGAAATAGGTGAATAGAGACAATCTAGATCGAGCAACACGAGCCGTTTCGATGAGTAGTATGAGTCACGTGTCATCCCGAAGTTTCCAAAATGGCTGTCGCACATAACGATCTGAATTCCATGGTAGTCAGCAAATTCATACATCATGCTGAACACCTCATTGGTCAGCCATATATAGTCATTCAGTGTTGGTATATAACTCTGTAAAAACTGTTGATAATATAAATGTGATATTGGTACCAGTTTAGGGATCACGTCTTCGGGCTCAAAGAAGACAGTCATATCTGGGAACTTGATGGGCAAAAGATCCCACAAATTATCATTAGCTCCAAATGCAGTGATTACTGTAATATAAAAATGTTCACATTGATAACAAAGTATTACTATGAAAGATATGAACTGCGTAATTTACGTTGTTCCATTCTAATAGATCGGTAATGCACTATTATTACCTATTATTACACAATTAACATTATCTAACTTTGTAAGCCTTTTTCAAACATAGGACATACACTTGTACCACTTTGTACATTGGCCCTCTATCAATAATAATATGAGGTCATAGTTCAGGTATCGGTATGGCAACCAGCCACATATGACAGACGAAGTAAACCCCACTTGTCGTGTTATATCTACACAGGGCATTAAACCTTACCTTTATGTTCTACATTCTGTACAATATAAAATCCTCCACAATATCCAAGGATACGAATGCTATGACGACTCTCCATCAATACTGTCAACATGAAGAACTCTCGATCTTCTAAAAGTGTTGCCATAGTAATCACTTCGATGGTATCCACCGTACTATCGTTGTTTGCATCTGCCAATTTTAATATCACGTATTTATATTGATCACAAAACGGCTCATTTTGAAATTCGTTGAAGCATTTTAATTTCGAAAACTCAGCCAAACTAATAGGTGTATCCATATTCACGTACTGTTGAAACTGGCTGTACCATTGCATGCTGAACTTGGCCACTACTGTCTCTATTCCTGGAATTCCTATCTCTATGCCGGTGTATCGAAATACGTTCTTTGTCGGGTTCTCACTGAGGCATGTCAAATGTGGCGAATGATAACTGCACAGTCCA